TTATAGGAACTTCCTTTTTTTTTTTTTTTTTTTTTCCTAATTTCTTGCAGTGTCTAGCACAGTCATTTGCGACTAATATGCAATTTTAGAACATAATTTTAGAAACAAAATATTTAGGTATTTCTCAAAGTATAGGCATGTCTCTCTACCTTCCCTTATTTTTTCCTTTAGGCTCACTTGTGCATTTTTGGCCTGCAAAGTAGATGAATTCAATGTATCGAGTCTTCAGTTTGTTGGAAACCTTCGGGAGAGTCCTCTAGGACGGGAGAAGGCACTGGAACAGATTTTGGAATATGAATTACTTCTTATACAGCAACTTAATTTTCACCTTATTGTGCACAATCCTTACAGACCATTTGAGGGCTTCCTCATTGATTTAAAGGTAAACTTGTTGATACAAAATAAACTAGTGGAGTGTACTCCTTTGCTATTGTTATCTAACTAAAAGAATACAAAATTTTATAACTTGTAATCATCCTAATTATTACAGCATGGGTGCAACCGTTGAGTCTGCCTGGACTTCTTGGGCAATACTTTTCAAACTTCAGTGTACATCAGAATTACCTGGGGAGCTTGTTAACTCAAATTTTTGGGTGAGACTCCAGAGTTTCTCATTTAGTGATCTGCAAATCCTGGTCCAGGGAACATTGTGAAAACTATTGTTTAGAGTAATGCTTTTGAAGGCTAAGATAAATCTTCTAATTCTGAAGTATACTGTTATGGATCTGGGCCTTTTGATTTAAAGAACCATAAAAAGAAGTCTGAAATTTAAACTAGAAGATTGCTAAGTGACTTATATACTTAATGCTTTGTGAATTTGAGTCACTACAGGCATTAAATATAAGTAAATAAATATTGACAAAAGTTACCTAAGTTGTTTTGGCCCTACAAGAGGACTTGGATAGGCTGAATAAAGTCCAACAGACATCAGAGACTGGTTCTTTCTTTCCTTTTTTTTTTTTAGTTTTTAAATGTGGTCTTTATTTATTTATTTATCCATTTATCCATCTATCCATCTAATCTATCTATCTAAGAAGAGAGTATCCTAAGATAAATACACAGGTTTCCTTATATAAGACAAGAACAGAAAACTACTCCAGCCAACTGACTCCACTGATTGCGATGGAAAACTGAACAGTAAAAAACAGTTTTGATTTCTTTTGTGGCCTGTGTGGAGCAAGGATTTAGAAGACCTTATGGATATCACCCTTTGTAGGGAAGCAGCTGAAATGCTGCTGCTTTTATATTCTTGAGTCAGCATTTCAGGCTATAGAAACTGAGCACTATATCACCATCAGAAATGTAGACTGATCTCGAGAAGCTACATTGTGACTGTCAGAATGACATACTTGTAAAAGTTTAGCATTTGGACAATTAACTCTGTTAAAGTCTTCTATAAGAACTTTAAATATATTAAGACCGGTTCTTTCATCTCAGTTGAGCTGCTCAATTTGTATACCTTCTATATGCCAAGCATGGTACTTGAGGTTGTAGCCAGAAACAAGACAGGAGCACTCTCAACTTTCATGAACCTTACAGTTTAATGGTTTAGAGAATACATTATACACCCCTGAGGATACCAAAATCTGCTTTCATGGACCCTACAATCTAATGGTTTAGACAATCATCGTACACCTCCGAGGATACCAAAATCTGCAGGTGGTCAAGTCCCATGTATAAAATGGCATAGTATTTACGTATAACCCACACACATTGTTCTGTGTACTTTAAACCAGCCCTAGGTTACTTATAATACCTAATATAATGTAAATGCTATGTAAATAGTTGTTATACTGTATTGCTTTTTATTTGTATTTTTTATTGTTGTACTATGTTTTTCCCCCCAAATATTTTTGATCTGCAGTCTGTTGAATTCATGGATATGGAATCCACAGAACAGAGGGCCAACTGTATATCCAGTGTGCTAAATGTTACAGAGGGGAAAATACAAGATATCTTAGAGGGAGATAGCAGATTGAGGGGTAAGGAAGACATTTCTGAGAAAGTGTCATTTAAAGTGAAAGTTAGAGCAAGAATAAGAATTAGGTAAGAGAGGGCATTTCAGTCAGAGAGGCCTCCCTGGTCAAAGGCTCATACAAGAAACCATGGTGCATTAAAAAACCAAAACAGAACCTAGAGATATAGGGGGAAGAGTGCCACAGAGTGCTGCTGCCTGAGAAGATGGCAGAGTCTAGACTGTGGAGGCAATGTTAAAAATTTTGAATATAGCAAAGGGAAGCCAGTGAAAGGTTTAAGTTTAGAGAGTGCCATGATTAGTTTGCAGCTTAAAGCAGTCCCGTTGGCAGCCTTATGGGTCAACCTGCATCAGATATGTATTGTGCATCTGTGTGTGCCAGGTATGTTGTGGAGAATGGATTAGAATGGATGAAGGGATAGCAGTGCTGTTAAGAGTAGTCCAGGCAAAAGATGAAGATTGGCTTGACTTACATAGTGGCAGTGGGTATAGAGAGAGCTTTGTGGACTTCTGAGATAGCAGGTAGAGTCAACAGAACTTGAGGACTGATTGCATATAGAGAATGAGGACAGAGGAAGAACCTTGGGTTTCTGTCTGGGGGAGGGTTTTTTGTGTTTGCATTTTGTTTTCATGAAGAGACTGATGCATAGTTAAATGCTGATGCAGGTAGCTAGTAGTGAGAGAAAGATTAAAGGAAAAATGGAAAATATATATCTCAAGTTTCTCTTTGGAGTAAGTTATAGGGTTCGGCTTGGGATTTGCAGCAAGATAGGATAACTGGCGTTAGAGGGAATTACTCTTTCATGGCCTTTTTTTGTAATGAGCAGAGATCATTTTCTGAGAGTGTTGGAATGTGAGACTTACCAACGACACTGAGACAGGTGGAAAATGTTTACCATAGTCACTGAAAAATGGGAGAACAAATTTTCTATGAAGGATTGTCATTGCTAAGCAGTGTTAAAAGCCTTGCTGAGGTCAGGGAAGATAAGTTCATAGTAACATCAGACCTCTTTGTTGTGTGGTTTTCTCTGGCAGTACCTGGAAATCTGGGTATAGTTGCAAAGCAAAAAGATGGTTGCGTTCAAGTACTGTTGAAGTTTTTCCAGAAATGTGTTGGCAGCAAATTGTGGCAGGGAATTTAGGAGGGAAATGAGGACCAGAGGACCCTAGTGAGTGTAAGCATGTAGAGGATAAGTGGTCAAAGGTTCTGCAGAGGGAGAATAGCTGTCAAGTAATGGAGCAAATGTATTGGGAAAAGAGGCATTTGTGGTCAGAGTGGAGAGTCTGAATTGGTTGTATCAGAGATCAGGCATTTTGGATAATAACAAGGCATGGGTGTGACTGCAAAATTGAGTCTGGACATTTTGTCTCAGAGTGTAGGAAAAATTTCTTACTGCTCCAGGTCTTGAATGTGGTATCTGAAATAAATCTTAGGATTTAGGATTTAGAGTTCATCTTAAAGGATATGAGGAATTGTGAGGAAATATGAGATCTTCCATATTACTTGGACATACTCTAAAAATAATTCTGTAGGTATTTGAGGAAGTCTAGTTGGTTTTAATAAAACCAAGGTTCATTTGTAAAAGTAAATAGAAGCCTGGGAAGTGTTTACCTGGGAATATGTATTTCTTGGGTCTACTTTAGACCCAGTGAAATCTCTAAGAGCCTCCCTTTGCCTTTCTTCCTTTCTCCTCAGTAAATTGAGAATAATGTCAAGTGCTGGGAACTTTAGGTGCGTTATCTTAAAGCATATATGTCTTACTGTGGGGTGGTTGTGTTCAAAAAGTTTGAGAGCCACTGAATTACAGAATAATATCAGAGAAGACAGATCAAGGAAAATATTCAGAATTTAATGACTGCAATTTTGCTACATTCTATGATGATTACGAAACAATCTTACATGGAAAGATCGTTTCTTGTTGGGGTATAGGAAAGGAGTTGCTTTTATAAAATCATTTTATGTTAAGCACTTTCTGGTGAATATAAATATTTTTCAACTGCTATTACTCCATTAAACCCTCAGAAATGGTAATGTTTGCAAACTTTCTTTCTAGACTCGTTACCCCATGTTGGAGAATCCAGAGATTTTGAGGAAAACAGCTGATGACTTTCTTAACAGAATTGCGTTGACGGATGCTTGCCTTTTGTACACGCCTTCACAAATTGCCCTGACTGCCATTTTATCTAGTGCCTCCAGGGCTGGAATTACTATGGAAAGGTATTGATTTGTGTTTTAGATTCAGATTCAGTCACTCAGTTCATTTCTTCATGAAGTCTGAGCTTTTAAGTAAGGTTAATTTGTGGCTGTAGTCCTTTATGTCTCTTGTGGTTGGGAAGGTTGGTGAGAGAAGAAATGAAATCGCCTTTTAAGGAAATCTTTAAAAATTAAGCAAAGTATTGTTGAGCTAAGAGAATACATTTATGACTAAAGTAGAAGTACAACAGGTGATCCTCGACTGATATAGTTGTCACTACAAGGCAAATTTAGAAGTTTTATGAACTGGTAAGCGACTTGAATTCAGCAGATATGTCTGCCTTGTTTTATCATCATTCCCTCGCTGGAGAGCATGTGTGATACATGGGTTTCAGTAAAAACCTGTTGAATGAGTAGGGTTTTAGGGGATGTCCAAATGTATTGTAATTGAAACATAAATAGCAATAGCTAATACATAAATGCACACTGAGAACCAGGCTCTGTGATTAGCACGTACATGATTCTTAAAACAGTATCTTGTGCACAGATTAATTAAATATTAATATACCTATATTATGTTATCATATTCATTGATAACTAACTGAAGCACAGGCTAGCAGCAAATTAGTTTTTAGTTTCTACATTTAATTTCTCTATATATGACCTTCGAAGTTCTGCATGATTTCATTCTTAGAAATAGATGATAAAACTTTCTTAAAAACTATTTTACATGCTGAGCTTTTAAGTAAGGTTCATTTGTGGCTGTAATCCTTTATATCCTTTGTGATTGGGAAAGTTGAAATCCATAATTTCAAAATCTATTGATAATATGGCAGCAAACATGAACAGATGTGATTTAGTTTTTCTTGTACTTAGTAGGAATATTTATATGTTTCTTTGCAGAAATATTAATATTCCTGATTATAGGATGCTGGCCAGGCATCACTGGGGTATTTCACATTTCATATTATGTATACCGTTACTTTTCTAATAAGACATGAGCAGTTATGAATTTCATAACACTGCTGCATCTAAGATAAGGGATAGTGGGGCTTGTATTTTGTTTTATTTATGGTATGCTTTCTCTTTATAAATACAGCTGTATATAAATATTTATATTTAATCCCAAAGTGATTTATACTTCCATTTATTTGCCAAGCAAACATTTATTGAGTGCCTTCTATGTACTACTATGCACTGTACTACACTTTAGGAGTGTAAGAATGAACAAATATAAATCCCTGCCCTAGTTAGGAAAGATAACCATTTAAATAATTGATGTCTATGGAGTTTAGGTGTGGAACTTCCATTCTGTAAGGAAAAAAAAAATTTTTTTTTCCACAATTCAGATAACCAAAAGTTTGAGTAATCTGTTCAAGCATCTTCTCTTAAGCTGTGTATATGCAAATTCTCCAGTGGATTTTAGTTATGTAGATAGAAAGGGAAGAAGCATCCTAAGGTCCATATTAGAGTTTATTTTGTCTTAGAGGTTTAGTTAGTTATAATTCCATATAGGCAGTATTGAAATTGTGGTACCTTGTGTTCATTGCAAATTAAATAGGCTTTTGTAGCATTCCCAGAGACGGTAGACATTTGAGCTTTTTTTTTTTTTTTTTTTTTTTTTTTTTTTTTCTTTAGGTGAATGCTCTCATCATTTTTAACTTACAGCTGATTTACAGGCAAACTTTGCTGTATGTGGAAGGTGCATTTACATTTATTGCTGATTTCAAAAAGGGAAAGCCCTTGTGCTATTGTCATATTCTGGACAGTGCCTCAGATTACTGCTCATAGGATGTTGTATTATTATTTCTGGGTCCTCTGCTCTTGTGGATTTAGAGCTTTATTTCTTATCTTCTAGTTTGAGTCTTTAGGTATTTTTATTTGCCTGTAGATTTAAAAAAATCAGAATATTAAAATTAAAATTCTAATTTAGAATTGAGATTAAGAGTAGTTGCTAACCTATCCCTGCACTGGCCAGTACCAAAAAAAAAAAAAAAGAAAAAAAGAAAAAGAAAGTCGCTAACTTAAAAATCTTTCACAGAGGTAAAGAGTCTGGTCAGCTAACTCTCAGAACCAAATATATCATTGTTATGCTTAAGAAATCAAAAGTGAAGGAAGATGGCAAAAGCATGAGGAGTTTTAGGGAGAAAAGGGAAAGGAAAAAACTAATTTAGTTATTTTGAATTATTTATAACCAGATATACATTACTTATGGGTTTCCATATCCAAAATTAATTCCCACAATAGATGATGAAGATGTAATATCAAACTTAGTTATCAAAATTTGTAATAAAATTTTAATAATCTGATTAATTTAAAAGACATATAGCAACAAAGATTGGTGGCTGGCCTGCATGGGGATCCGAATCCTTGCCCTTCTTGTTATCAACTCTGTGCTCCTTGTAAATTGAGCTAACCAGCCAGCTAACAGTTCTTAAAGCATGGCTTTGTATTTTTGTAACTTTATTTCCCCAAGAGAAAAATTAATACTTTGCATTTATGTTTGAAAAACTGCTCATGCTTTGAGAACCTGTTCATTTGGGCTTTTATCAATTATAGATCAAGTTCAGGTACATAAATCCTCAGAGTAACTAAAAATTGAAATATAGAAAATTATATTTTCATAATCTTCATACTGTCAGTGGTTCTGAGAAAAATAGGTAATTGAACTTTATATTGCATTGATGGAAAAGTATTAACACGTTTGATTTGGACTTGATGAAATAAGATGTAATAGGTTTCTAGAGCACAGGGTGATATTCTCATTGGCTTGAATACCTGTTACTCCCAAGGAGTGCAACTGTAGGTCACGTAGCCTTGATATTATTTGGAGAGAGAATCCTTACTAGTGCCAAATTCCAGCTCTACTATTTGCTAGCTTTATTACTTTGAGTAAGTTGTGAGATCATGACTTATTCATCCTTGTAATTCAGATTCCTCATCTGTAAAATGAGGTTGACTCAGGGTTTCTATATTAAACAGGTAGATATTGTACTTGGTATTACTGCTGTTATTTTCTTACTATTTTCCCTCCGAAAGCTTATATATGTATACTATAAAATTTAAGTAAGTTAACTTTGAATACTAAATATCTTTTAATCTAAGAAAAGTGGTAGTAAAGTAAGAGTTGTAGATTATACTTTTATGGAGTTCAGTACTGTTATGTAATGTTTTAAAATAATTTCAAAATTGCCCTTGATGAAATGAACATGGAGGAAAATAATTGATGATGTCATGTTTCTCAATATTCTGTATGTTTTCAATAGATTAAAACCTTTTTCCTTTCTTTACCAGTTATTTATCAGAGAGTCTGATGCTGAGAGAGAATAGAACTTGCTTGTCACAGTTACTAGATATAATGAAAAGTAAGTAAAACATAACACTTTATAAAATATTCTTCCATTACACAGCTACTTTCTAAATATCATTTTGCTATGTAACTTGAGATAACACAGATTTATGTTTAGATTTATATTCATTGAATTATTGTATCATGGATGCATGAAAGATAACATTGGTGGAGAAAAACGGAAGGTCTACATAAGGAAGTATTCACTCATAGAACTTATCACAAGAGTGAAATATAATCAGATTCAGAAGGGCTTTACAGATTTAAAACAGTATCCTTTTAAAGTATGTACAAATATGTGAAAAAGATCTAAAGAAAGGGAACTAAGGATAATGTTTAAATTTGGAACTTCCATTTTGCACATAAATCAATGTTTTAACTGGTTAATATGTGCCATTTGCTAGTCATTTTGTTAGTTGATATTACAAAGGCTGTGGTTCTCAGCCAGGGGTGATTTTTGCAATGTCTGGGGACATTTTTGGCTGTCACAACTTGGAGGCTGGTAGTGACTGCCAGTGGCATCTAGTGGGTGGAGGTAAGAATTCTGCTAACCATCCTACAATGCACCAGACAGCCCCTGCTAGGCTGAAAAATGGCTCCCTAAAAAATATTCAGGTCCTAATTCCTGGGACCTGTGAATGTTACTTTACATGGAGTAAAAAAAAAAAAAAAAAAAAAAAAAAAAAAACAGAAACACCCCAACCAAAAAGATTAAGGGGTTTTTGCAGGTAAGTTAAGGAATTTGAGATGGTGTCATGGTGTCATGAATCTGGATTATTGAGGTGAGGACTAAATGCAGTCACAAACATCCTTATGAGAAAGGTAGAGGGATATTTGACATACCCAGAGAAGGCAATGTTATGACAGCAGAGAGAGATTTGAAGAAGCTGGCCTTAAAAATTGGAGTGATGTGGCCATAAACCAAAGGATGCTGACAGCCACCAGAAACTGAACAGGGAAGGAATAGATTTTCTTAAGAGCCTCCAGAGAGAGTGTGGTCCTGCCAACACGTTGATTTTGGGCCAGTGAAACTGATTTCAGACTCCTGCGCCCCAGAATCATAAGGAAAAGTACATTTCTGTTGTTTTAAGCCAACAAGTCTGTGATAATTGTAATAGTGTCCTCAGGAAACTAATATAAGCCCTTTATAACAAAGAGTGCTTCAGCCCAAAATGTCATTAGTGCTGGTGTTGAGAAACCCCATCTTAAGGGTTGAGAGTAGACTTTCCATTTAACTGATTGGCTGGATTAGCCAGTCCTCTCCTTTCTTCATTCTTGCCCTTGGTACACTGAATGCTCATGGCTGCTAGGCTACTCTTCAGGGTTAAAAGTCAATCTGTGTGTTTGTTCCAAACTTTTTTGCGCCAGTTGTTCTTATTCACTTTGTAATTAAATATTGAATAAACCAATAGAATATAAAACTGAAGATTTTGATCTTGGATGATAATAAATGGTGTATGTATATATGTGTTTTATGTTTTAAAAGATAAGATGCTTATGGCACATAGGTATCATTTCTTGATTCTCTGCTTGAAGTGATCTTGAGGGCTTTCCTCTTTGATGGAAGTGTGATTAATGAATCATAAACTGTAGGTCTTCAGTTATAACAGTAGAGGGTTCACTTTCAAAGCTAATTGTAATTTGACCATAGATATTAGGATCATCGAATTTAGTAGATAGAAGGGGCCTTAAAGATAATCTGCTGTACTTATTTTATAGCTCACAGTTTTATTACTGATTTCTTCTCAGTACCTTAATTTTGCTCCACTTATTTTAATATAAAATGAGAATAGTTCTTCATAAAATACTCAGCTTTAACAGTATTAGGATATTCATAATTTTTCAGAACATGGATACTGTCCTAAGGGTATTGAGTCACAAGTATTAATTCATTTGAAAACACTGATTTGCATTATGGAATGTCAGTAGTAATACCCATTTGAAGCAAATGCCTGGCTAATAAGAAGCCCTGAATCTCTTATCATTCCTCTAATAAATTTTGAGATTTGTATTCTTTGGCTTATTATAGTTAAATAACAAATAAGATCAGGTTGAAGATATTTTTGCAATTATAAAGTTACTATAGTAGTTTGCCCTTAATCTAAAAGGGACATTTTTGTATAGGGTCTGCATTTTGTTATAGCAAAGGATCATTGACTTGGTTTTACACATTATATTGATATTGACACATTTTATCCTCCCTTCATTATATGTTATGTGATAAGTTTCCTTTGTAAACAAGAAGCACACCCTTGGCCCACCATCTGTAGAATAGCATATTATGAATATGGTTGGTGGTAGGGAATAAAGCATGTTTAATTAGTCATGTAGGGATTTTTTTTTTTTAAAAGCCTTAAAACTGAGCAAAAAGTGACCATGGTTAAGATTTGCAAAAAATTAATACTAAGTAGATCACACAGCATGTTTATTTTTATGCTATATGTGATATAGGCTAAACAGAAGTGAGCCATAATTACTTCAACTAAAGGTATGGTGTTTATTGGATTTTAATGCAGAATGATACAAATCCAGATAAGAATAATCATATAATTTCAAGAGTGTTTTGTTATTGTTTCCCTATCGATAAGATGGGAAGTTATTCGATATAACAAGGCTTTTTATTATTCAGTTTAAATTTTTTTGTATCTCCACACAGGCATGAGAAACTTAGTAAAAAAGTGTGAACCACCCAGACCTGAAGAAGTTGCTGTTCTGAAACAGAAGTTGGAGCGATGTCATTCTGCCGAGCTTGCACTTAATATAACTACGTAAGTAGATGTGACAGTGTTGTTCATGAATAGATATGATCTATCCATTCTAACTGGTCCTTTAAATCATTTCATTGGTAAATGTTTGTTCATCTGGGGAAAATTGACTTACCACATTAAATCAGATTTTTTCTGAGTGGACATATCTAACAGTATTAAATACAAGATAATAATTTGGCTTTTATCATACGGTTCTGATCCTGCTATGGCTAATGTGTTCTTTGGCTTGCATCTCAGGCTCTTCTTAGTGAATCCCTGAACTTCTTCCTGCCATTTTAATCATTGCTATCTGTGCAGGTCTAATACCTGGTCTAAGGATTAAGTATATTTTTCCAGACAAATTTTAGTTGGAGTAGGGAAACTTGGCATATTTTCTTTCGATGACACACTTTGTATTGAAGACAGAACCAATAGGAATATATACATTTTATGCTTTGCAAATGGAAGGATCCACTTAAACTTAATCATTTAGGAGTTGAAGCAGTTGGGTATTTGGACAGGTAATAGGAATGGTGAAACTAATATTTTGTTTTCTTTGGAAAGCATTCTGATTCTAAAGTTCTCCTATCTTATTTGTTAAAATTCAATGAGAATTAGCTGTGGTACCTTACGGTTAAGATGCATTTGAGATATTTTGATCTCTATAATTGGTGAATATGTTACTGGATATGTATAAGAAGCCAGAACAACATTCCAAGGCCTTTCAGATAAGGTACACGACTCAGATTCCTTAACTATGCAATTGTAGTACGGGGGACATCCAGGGACTTACAAAATGTGCAAATATAGGACTGTTTTATTATAGTCGTAGCTATAACTGCAAAGTATGGGTTAACAAAGAACTTGGAACTGGTAGATTTCATTCCTGGGTTTCAGGAGTAATGGGAATGTTACAGAGTGGTTACAGAGAAGAAAGAAAAATGTTGACTTTAATGAAAAGTATTGCTGCACTGATTATGTTATTTTCACACTGATTTTGAAATGGGCTTAGACCAGTGATTGGCAAACTGGCCCATCACCCAAGTCTGGCCTGCCATCTGTTTTTTAGAAATACAGTTTTACTGGAACACAGCATATTCATTAATTTATGTATTATTTATAGCTGTTTTCACACTACAGCAGAAAAGTTGGGTAGTTGTGACAGAGACTGACTATATGACCTGCAAGGCCTAAAATATTTACTGTCTCTTTAAAGAAAAAGTTTATCAATCCCTGGATTAGACCATTAAACTATTAAATACTACCTTTCTAGCAAGTGATTGGACCATAATCCAAAATTCCTGTCAGAGTTTACATTTTACTTAGTTATCATCTGCTTTATACTGTACCAAACAAATTCTACATCTCTGAGTACCTCACCAACTGTCTATGAAGGACTTTTTTAAAAAATTCATTATAGACATATACTTTTGTAAAATACAATAAAAAATGAATTATTAGGGAAAAAAAGACAAAATATAAGCTCAAATTTTATTATTCGATTCAACAGTCATAAAAATATCTCAAATTGCTATAAAAGTTTCTAAACACACAATTTTGGTATTTAATCTCACTGCAGGCTGGAAGTAGTTTATGGATCAACACTGGTCCATGGACCACACTAGGAGAACTACTATTTTAGGACAAAGTATTTGTTTTCCTTGATCTTTAAAATCCTTTAACTTTGTTTTTCATTACACAAGAACTGTATTGCCATTAAGTCATTCAAAACAGATAAAACCAAAGTTCTCTTTGACCAATACCCAAATCTCTGTCATGACCTCAGAAGTTAACATGTCAGTTGGCATTTACCCTTGCCAGCCTTTTCTTTGTGTATGTATATATCTGTATATGAAATGTTTTTTTGTTTTTTCTTTGCATTAATGTTTTCATACATATTGTACAATATTTAATATTATCAATCTTTAGCTTTTGGCAGTCTGGATGAAAAAAATAGTATCATATTGATATTTTAATTTGCATTTTCCTCCTTGGTTACTATAAGGCATTATTTTGATTTGTAGTGCTTTGTAGATTCTGTATACTCATCTTTTTATATATGATAATTATTCTATTGTTTCTTTTCATTTTTAATATATAGAAAATTTCTTTTGCTTTATGCTTTTATATCTGAATGCCTTTCTTAAATTAGTATTTATTTTGCCTTTTGTTTGGCTGTTAAAACCACTTAGTTTGTGAATGGTGTGAGATAATCACTTAATAATTTGCTTCCCAATATTAATTTTTGTCCCAGCCCATTTTTCAATATTCCATGTCTTTCCTAGTTATTTGAAATACTCTTTATCTAAGATTAAGTTCCTGTGTATTCATAGGCATTTTTGGCTTATGGATCTGTTTAATTGTTAATACCATGCTTTTAATTACCATAGCTTTTATAGTGTGCTTCAATGATAACTGGGACAAGGTCCCCCAACATTGTTCCTTTTAAAATTCTCTTTGCTATTTTTTCATTATCTTTCACAGATCAGTGTTACATTTGTAAGGTTCCATGAAAAATTTTATTGGGATTTTAATTAGAATTGCACTGAATTTAAAAATTGATTTAAAAATTATCTTCCTACTAATTACTCTTCATCTCGTTCTATTTATCCAGGCCTTATTTTTCATATAGCCTTGCTAGTTTATTCCTGGATGTTTTATGTTTTCTGTTACCAGTACTGGATTGCTTATAATTAAACTTTTCTATTTGTTAAACTTTTTCCTCTCACTGTAGTTTTATGTAAAATAAGTATCTTCAGAATGCTTAATTATAGGAAGAAGAGGAAAGGCTATGAAGATGATGATTATGTCTCAAAGAAATCCAAACATGAGGTATGTTTACTCCAAAGGTGAACTTTAAGTCATTTTTGTTACACATTCTAAGTGTGACCACATTGTTAAGCTTTATTGTTCCAGAGTACACGCATTACAGATAGAGCTGTGGTTTTTTTCATTTTTTGCATACTTTTTTTGTGTAAACTGTCCATTATTAAAGGGATTTTTCTTACTTCTGTCTTAGCCTGTCAGCAGTATAAGTACTTGACGAAGAATCTTTCTTACGTTCATAGAAGGCAGCATGGATACACACACATACTAAATTTTTGCTTTATTACTTATTCTCCAAGGATTCTTCCTTTGCCCCTTTTAAAAAATTGTAACTGGCAAAGCCAAGGCAAATGAATAGTCAATAGGCAGAAGGTCTCAGCTATAACCTTTATTCCTCATTGGAATGGTCTGGTGAGACCACACCATAATTATTGTAAGATTGAACTACTACAAATTTTCCTGGTTTATTTATCTTCTGTAATCCGCATAGGTAAAAGGATCAATAGGCAGAAGGTCTCAGCTATAACCTTTATTCCTCATTGGAATGGTCTGGTGAGACCACACCATAATTATTGTGAGATTGAACTACTACAAATTTTCCTGGTTTATTTATCTTCTGTAATCCGCATAGGTAAAAGGAGAACATTTTCCTAAAGGGAGGCAAGGAGGTAAACAATCTGGTTAACGCTTCAGTGTTATCCTTACCACATTTTTTTTCCTTCCTAGGAAGAATGGACTGATGACGACCTGGTAGACTCTTTCTAATCATTTGAAGATGATTTGTCAATGCCAACTAACCAACAGAAATAGGAAGCATATCTGGCATTTAACATTATTTAAAAAGTATAATGTGAAAACATCAAACTATATTAAAATTTTCTATTTGTTAAATTTTTTTCCATTCACTGTAGTTTTATGAAAAATATCTTCAAAATAGCCAGAATAATACCTGGTTAAGATAATCTTTTAACATCAAATTAGTTGTTTTATGATAGTCAATTAAAGCTGTACTTTATTTGCCTATATTGTTTTTAAAAATGTGATATGTAAATCTATCCTTTGTGGAAAAAGGCACCACAAAACCCAAAACTTAGTAGTCAGCTGTAAAAATGGTAAGGAGGCTGGCCAGTCCAGTTAGCTCATTTGGTTAGAGTGCAGCCTTTTAACACCAAGGTCATGGGTTCTGATGTCCATACCTGCCAGCCACCAAAAAAAAAAGTGCTAAGGAATGTGTTTTGTCCTCTAGAAATCTTTATAATAGCTTTTCAGATGCCATCCTGATATACTTAGCTATTCATGTGTTACTACTTAACTGTAGAAAGTATTTCAACTGTGTTATACGGTATAGAATGCTAGTTATCCTGAGTAATGAATGTATATTTCCTTCAATTAGTTATCAGAAAACATTTCCAAATGGGTTAAAAAATTTGAGTAGATGTTTAGATAATCTTAAGTCACTATAGGTAAGTAGGTACTAGCAAATTATATATTGAGTTTTATAATTAACCTATTAGATCAACTATAACTGAATCCACATAGGTGTTATAGTTAGTAGGAATTTTTTTAAATATGTCAAATTTAATTCAGATTGAAATGAGTTGATATAAAAATATAAAAGCACAAACTATGGCACAAAATTATTTAGGTATGAATTACTTCATTATGTGACCTTGGTAAATACCTCTGTGTCCCCATTTCCCAAGTTGAAAATGGGGGAAATAATAATGTGCAGTCCTCATAGGATTAATTAGAATAGTATCTGCATATACAAGTGTTCCATAAATGTTAGCTATTGTAGTTGGAACCAAATTGTGGATGCCAAATTTTTTTCTGGAAAACTGGCTGAAGGGAATTCTGAGAAACCCCACTGCTCTGAATGTAAATAATTTGTATGAATACACCACACCTCCTCAGTGTCAGTGCATCGAAGGCAGCACATTCCATTAGGGTAGGTACCATTTTAATTACATCTTTATATATGAGGATAATATTTACTATATGTATATTCATCTCTCTAGTAATTCTTTCTATTATAAGCTGAGTTTTTTTGGATTTTTGTTTCCTCCTCATTCTGGAATGAAAGCAGGGTGGAAGAAGCCAAAGTTTAAAATTCTCCAATGCAGTCCAGGTTCAGTAGCATTGCTGCTAGGCTCTAGACAGAATTTCAAAATGTTCACAATTTATCTCTTGTTTCCCTTTCAGATCTCTTAAACTTTGGCATCAGAGCAAGGTCCACATTTACCTCTGAAAATTTTCCCACTCAGCAACATTAAAAAAATTGTCTGACAGATTTTATTTCAACATTGTCTAGCTAGTTACTGCAGGGCCTACTAAAATAAGTGACAAACATGTCATTAAAATATAAAAAGCAGGATAAGTTTTTCAGGTTTGTGTTTTTTTGATAAACGAAAAGGGAGAAGCATTTCAGGCGGAGGAATGGCAGACAGGATAGTATGGCCAAAGATTCAGGTGTGATTAATGGGAGAGAACCACGGTGCCTAGTGCACTACAGCTTGGAGCTTTTTGCCCTTTAAAACATTTTAGGAGATAGATGGCACTAGTCCACATCCCTTCCAGTCTGTCTTCTATCCTGTAAACCAAAGAAAGAGACCAACTGGGACACTATTATGGTAGTCCAGCCAAAAAGCAGGAGGAATGGAAAAGAGGAAGGAAAGTTATATAGAGATAAGAAGGGACAGAATGGAATGATATCAAGGAAAAGGAACAGAGGATATGTTGAGTTTTTTGGTATCAGTGTTGAACTATAATTGAATCTACATGAGGTTAAACTGCTTCCATACAAATAATTGCCTTTTATAGCATAAAATATTCAGCAGACATCTTTAAACCCTTGATTAATATTTTTTTCCCTGTATTTTATACACTGGAGAAATAGAATAGTGTTGCTTTTGGAATATGGGCCTTTAGAAATTTTTTTCTTATTTTAAAATATCAACTCAAATACAATAGAAAATTTTTCTTTACTGTGGGAACTGGTTTTCCTAATACCTCCTTGGTTCTTATTTCACCCAACTGGATTACTGATGATATTCTACCACATACTTTTCAATGTCTTGTCTCCCTTGTACAATTATGCGAGGGAAGGAATTGTTGCTTAATATATACTGAATGAAAAAATGAAATCCTTTTCGAAAGAGACCATTAGTAAAAATACTGATCTCAAGTTTCTTCACCCTGAGCCTTGCTCTGGTGCTAAAGTTTGAACTGCCCCTGAAAGAGGAAGAAAATAACAAAATTAAATGCTTAGCTATATTTAGACAGAAGTAATCAATTATGCAAGATATCCCTTGGTTTTATTTTTAACTTAACCCTTGTGAGTGCTTCACAAAAATACACATACAAGAAGCAAATAAAAATATACAGTCAAACTAAATATCCAGCAGATACAACAAGTAGTCAGAAGTTCCAAGATGGGTAAGTTAAGTGAATGAGGTTGTCTGCATAATCAAAGGGGTAGTACAAAAAATCAATTTGGAATTAATGAATGGATACTTTTAACAAAAGCATTCTAGTTTTGTTTTTTTTTTTTTACTGAAAAGAAACTGGTATCTATAAAATGGTTGAATGGGCAACATGCATTGATCAGTACAATGACCAATAATATTTATTGAATTCAAACTATTTACTGTTGTAAACATTTAACAAAAGCATTATGAGATCTAAATACAGTTTTAGACAATTCCAACAAAATAAGTGGTATGTTTAAAAAATAAAGCTGATGAACAATAGATCCATTCTATATACTTTCTTCCACCAGTTCCAGCAAGAGGAATAAGCACAGTATTTTTAAAAAGTATACAGCAAAGATTGTTCCTATTATAATGACAAACTGTAAAAAAGTCACTGAACAGTCATGGTCATATTCCTAATCAGGAAGAAGTTATAGTAAGAACAGTCTGTAATCCAGTTATATCAATTATCAATAGAGAATGCCTTTTCTTGTCAGTTGATTTCATAGTTGTTTTTCCAAGAGACAGCAAAACTTTGGCAATTGGATATACTGAAAATATATTTTCAAAGTTCATAACATTTTGTTTTGTGAAAGTGATCTGTACACCAAGGCTCAGAGGTTGGTAAAGATTGATTCCATGTGGAAAAAGTGCAAATATCCTGCACAGATAGCTTACAAAGTTGCTGGCACAGTTATTCACCAGCAGAATCTTGGGTTTTGTTTGCATAGCTCACACATCACTGGAATGTGGAAAGGTGTGCTATTTTTTGGCAAGAGCAAAGGAGATGTTATACTCATGTGAATTACCATAGTGGGCATGCTGAATCCATGCAGAACACTGGGGCGAAGTCTGCTACCTGACATCATTGGTTTTTGTATACTGGTTTTGTTTTTGTTGAAGCAGTTCTGTTATAGCCAGAAGCTTTTTCAGTACGTGCTGGACAGAAGGAAAAATGGTATGAAAATAATTAGTAAATAAATGAAAGCTTGGTCAGAAATTTCAGGATGGGAAACCTGGATTTGAAAAAAGCCATATCAAAGCAAAAGAATTCATAAAATACTAGCATTCCACTCAAAGCATACAATTGTGAGGTTCTATTATTCAGTCCATAACTGAATATTTTTGGCCATAACCAAGATAATTTTTGTACACTAAAAGAGAACAAGTTAATTTGTGTTTGGCATTCTCCTATCTTTTCAGGTGAGAACAACCTCTAGAATAGATCATCCTGCCAGAAGACAGACTGTCATTATAAATGACACATGACAACCACATAAGGGTAATGAGCTTGCAGCCTAGTGAACACTTTGAAAAATCCTATCTTTAAAATTAAGGAATCATGGAAGAAATATGACTACATTGAACCTAAAATTAAATAGCTCCTTTGTCTCTTTAAAAATTCTTTATTTAGTTCATGAACCCTAATGAGTGAGACTATTACCTAAATTAAAAAAAAAAAAACTTGGATTCTAGAATCTCAGGTTGAAGAGAACTGAGAATCACCGAACTCAATGCTGTAGTCTCTTCTTCAAAATCCCTGACAAATGGTTAGCCAGTTCAGTGATAGTATTCACTATCTCCTGAAACTATGGAAGAAACTAGTCAGAGCTATGGAGTGTGTGCCTCAATTTATAAAACTATTGCTGTGTAACTTCCTCTCAGTGGTTCTTATCCCAGCTGAGGCCATTCAAAACAATTCATTTTGTTCTTCAATATAAATTCAGTATATGTACTGACTGACATAGTTTTAAGTCCCTTCAAATTCTGTTACCTCTTTCAATAATACCCCAATCTTTATCTGTTGGTCTAGATAGCAGATAGAATTCTAACGTAGACTAGTGTTTCTTAAAGTGTGAGCTATGATCCACTTGAATCTGAATCCCTGGTAGTTTCCAAGGCCATACTTCAGAATCTCTAGATAAGGAGCTTGAGATATATATTTTTAAAATCAAACTTGCCAATTAATTCTCATGTGTTTCACAATTTGAGAATCACTTTGGCCATGCACTGTGTATGTAAGAGAGATAGAAACTGAAAGATTTAAAAAAAACACATCGTTATTGACTTAGCTCACTTGCCATTTTCATTTATGCCTCTAAAGTATATGAACACCACCATTTTCAAGTAGAGTTGACATTTTAGACTCAAGAGCAAGATTTGACATTTTGTAGTATCAGAAGTACATATCATCTTAGTCCACTGGACCCCATCGGGGTCCAATATTCCTGTCTGCTGAGATCTTGGATTATAATTCAGACTCTTAAAAATTTAACTGATAAAAATGTTGACCAGAATCCAACTATTTGTTACCTCCGAGTGTCTTATACTGACATTCTGCTTAAGTGCCAATGAAACATCGTTAACAAAGGCTAGCAAAAACCTACCTGCTGTGCACCGCGCTCATTACTGAGCGTTCGCAGTTCATCTGAATGAGCCACACAAATTTCATGCAATGCTGCTAAATCACGGGACAGGTCAGTTCTAGAATGCTCTGTAGTGTCCGGAAGTTCAGGTACATTCTTTAAGGGAATCATAAAACTGCATTTAGAA